AGGCTCAGTTCCCCGCTTTTATAAAAAGCACTGTAATAAGTCCAGGGCTACCTCTCGGTCCATTTTCATGGCCAGCCTTTTCCGGATTGTCTTCTTCTGGGTCGTCTTGTAATCTCGGTCTCCGGATCGGCCTCCCGACGCAGCAGTGTCTGGTATACCCCAGCGGCGGCCTTTTTCGGAAAGTCGCAGCACCCGGGTCCGTCACGCCACCGCAGCAGCATTGCCCGCGCTGCCCGGCCGCTGCCGCCGGCGCCGCTCTCTCGCCGTTCCGGGTCCCCGTCGACCGGGGCCCTGTATCCCGGGTCCCCGCTAGTCGGGGCCCTGTATCCCGGGTCCCCGTCGACCGGGGCCCTGTATCCTGGGTCCCCGTTAAACCGGGTCCCTGTATCCTGGGTCCCCGTTAAACCGGGTCCCTGTATCCTGGGTCCCCGTTAAACCGGGTCCCTGTATCCTGAGTCCCCGTTAAACCGGGTCCCTGTATCCTGGGTCCCCGATAACCGGGTCCCTGTATCCCGGGTCCCCGTCGGCCGGGTCCCTTTATCCGGGTCCCCGTCGACCGGGGCCCTGTATCCCGGGTCCCCGCTAGTCGGGGCCCTATATCCTGGGTCCCCGCTAGTCGGAGCCCTATAATCCGGGTCCCCAGCGACCAGGGCCCTGTATCCCGGGTCCCCGCTAGTCGGGGCCCTATATCCCGGGTCCCCGTCGGCCGGGGCCCTGTATCCGGGTCCCCGTCGGCCGGGGCCCTGTATCCCGGGTCCCCGCTAGTCGGGGCCCTATATCCTGGGTCCCCGCTAGTCGGAGCCCTATAATCCGGGTCCCCAGCGACCAGGGCCCTGTAATCCGCGTCCCTGTTCGGGCGCCATTTGTAAACGGCGAGGAGAAGCTGACACGCCAACCCAATATGGGTGATAAGCAACTTCTAGTTTATTTGTGACGCAGTTCACACATATATAGGAGTGGTATTCAGCCACTCCTTCGTGGCATAACAGTATTGGTTAGCCCCCACAGCTTCCTCCACATTCTCCTCCCAGGTCCGGTCTCTGTCCACCTGTGAGGGCCACCCCCTGCCTTGCTTGCACAGTCCTCCAGAACTCTATGGTTCTGCTCTTAAAGTCATTCTGCAACAGAGGGATCGGTCGGAGCTTGGTCGGGCTGGGGGGGCGAGTTATCGGTTGGCTGGTGGTGAGATGATGTATTCTCTTCCCTTGTTATTTCCTTTATCATTATTATCATTGGTGGTAGCAGTAGTGATTTGTGTTATACCTTAGTTACTAAACTGTTCTTATCTCAATAAACCACGACACTAAACAAAGGCAGCAAGTTATGGGTTTTCACTTTAGTTTATCTCCATTCCAGTGAATGTGCTCAAGCTGCAGGGACATGTGATCGCTGGGAGGAAGTTGTTGTGTATAGCACAAGCTGCAGCCTTAGACACATCCCAGGTTTCATATCTGCACCTTGGATCACTTCAGACCAAGCACTTGGTTTGTCAAGCAAGAAAAAGCGAGGGTGAGCCTTTGTTAATTGTGGGCTTCTGGTCAACTCTCCCCTGGCAGGAGATGTGTGTGTCTGGGCAGGTGGATGCTGCCTCAGGGGGAGGATTGAGCCCCAGACCCAAACACTTCGATTTTCATTACTTGGGTCACATCTTCCAGCTCTGTGGTGGTGGCTCAGGAGCTGCTTTGCCTCCGGCATGTCTATGTGAGCAGTGGAAAGCAGCTCTAAATCCCCATTAATAACACCAGGAGACCACACGTGTTGCTCACAGGACATCTGAAATGAGGAGTCTGGCTCTGGAGGGGGAGCTCACCCCTTCAGCAAAGGGTCATCAAATAATGATGACTTAAGCATGGCTCTGCTTGTCAGATACCAGCCATGCGCACTCCTGCTTTGCTCTCTGGTGTAATTCTGTCAAGTGATGATTAATGTTAGGCAAGATAAATCAATGAGGATTTATTCTACCTGTTGTAAGCTGTGATTTTAGGAGCTGCTGATTTCTCCCAGGGAGAATTTATCTTTGGTCAAACCCGAATGTATCTTTTGTCTGCAAGTTAGGCATCGTGTCTAAAGCAAAGTGGGGTGTAGTAACCCTGGTTCTGCACCATCCTACCCTAAGAAAAGCCACATTTGCTCTCAAAGAGCTCCTCCTGAGTCACAGAGAACAGCTATTTATTCCTCATGTACTTACACTGGACTGGCAGCACCCAAAAGATGAGAAATAATTCCCTTTTCCCAGCAGTTACTCAGGAATTCAAGGACTTCCATGTGTCAATGGCTTGAGAGGAACTATGAGGTACACTGCAGTTTATTCATTCTGGTGTTGCCCTCCCTCCTTTGCCTTAAAATATCTACTTGCTTCCAAGTGTGTTGGTGATGGTTGTGGTGTTTAGCCTTGGGAACTTGGTGTTTTCCTCTCTCAAAGAGAATTTACCTTATATTGACTTGTATGTATGTAAGTGGTGTAACTGATTGATAGACAAAACCTGACATTCTTAACAATATTGAGGGATTTGGGCCTATTAAGCATTTCAATTTAAAGACATAACTCAGGCAAACTGCTTATAGGTTCACTATGGTTGAAGATAACTACATGTCCCCCTCTGAGTTTATTCTCCTGGGCTTCACAAACAGGGAAGACCTGTGGGTGATGTGCTTTGTCTTATTCCTTGCCATCTATGTGGTTACCTTCATAGGAAACCTGGGAGTAATTGCATTAATCAGAATGGATTCCTGCCTACACACCCCCATGTACTTTTTCCTAAGCCACTTGTCTCTCCTGGATGTCTGCTACTCCTCTACCATCATCCCTCAAGCCTTGCTGAACATTCTAGTGGAGAAGAAGGTGATTTCCTTCATTAGATGTGCCACTCAGCTCTTCTGCTTTGCAACCTCTGCCACCACCGAGTGCTACGTGCTGGCTGCTATGGCTTATGATCGCTACATGGCCATTTGTAACCCCCTACTCCTACCCCATGGTCATGTCCCAAAGGCTTTGCATTGGGATGTTGGCTGGTGCCTACTTAGCTGGCGTGATCAGCTCTACCATACACACGGTTTCCATATCTCGTCTCCCGTTCTGTCGGTCCAAGACGATCAATCACTTCTTCTGTGATGGACCACCACTGCTAGCCCTCTCCTGAGCACCACGGTCTTCATCCTCATCTCCTACTTGTCGGTTCTTTCTATTGACATGCGGTTGCGGTCTGTGGTTGGTCAACCAGCATTCTGTACCAGGGGCTGGGACTTCAAGCTTCATTATTCACCCTGCACAAGCACACCCAGGTATTCTCAGTGCCTCTTTCTGGATTCATGTAGTTCTTTTCACTAATCTTTGAATTATATTATTCTTCTTTTTTAAATTAGGTTGAGGGTTATTTCTCCCTCTGTTATATTGATTTTCCCACTTCACAAGCCTTCGGTTTAGCCCAGTACCCAATGGGGAAGAAAGACATTCAAAACCACACAGAAATCCTTTTCTTCCCTCCTCCAGTGCATCTCCTGGACTGTCAGTCTGGTGCCTTCCAGCAGAAAAACAGGTTGACATTGAAGACATCTAAAGCCATCTACATTCCTCTCTTTCTTTCTTCCCCATATTTTCATAGCTTGGTTTTCTGTTCTATCTGCCCCATCCTTTGTCTTTTCTAAATGACTGGGACAAGGTTATCATTCAATATTTCCACACAGAGGATGCTTTGTTGTGTTTGTTTTCAGCTCCCTTCAATGCAATATTAGATAATCTCTGTGGGTGTAAAGGGCTTCCTCAGGGAAACACTGAAAGGAAGAGGTATGTGATAGATGGGGAAATACAAAGCAAACTGTCCTGGGCCTGTCTTCCTGGGTAGGTCTCTGCAGGAGAACTGGTCTTGGAGGTGTTGATGCAGCCAGAAGGAGTCTGGGGAACGAATGGTTTTCTTCAAACAGGTTCAGGTGATTTTAAGCATGGACTGAGTCTTCGATCATTCATCCAAATAGGTATCAGTTATTTAATAGCAGGACTGAGACAGCACCATGGTGTTTTGTGTTTAAATTGTGCTAAATGAAAGTAGTTCCCACAAAAAGGAGGCTCAGCCTTGAGGTAAGGCAGTGACCACTGTCTCCATTGCCTGCTTGATAACTGTTCATCCCAAGCGAGCTTGAAGATCTGAGGGAAGAACCAAAGGTTCAATACAGCTCTGGTATCCCCAGCAGTTCTGATACAGTTTTGGTGTCTATAGAATCCTA